TTGTTCTTTAATTGTGCGATTAGGTTCTCAACTTCCTTTGCAGTTACTGGTGGCCAATGAGGTAGGTCCTCCAATTGGATGCGTAGTTTATAATGTTGGACTTCCTGGTCATAAAACAAGGATTGAAAATGACGCAACCACTCCATTGGTTCCACTGTACAGATGGAATTGGTGCGCTCCTGGTCCAGTAGACCAGATATGGTTCGCCAAAAGCAAGTAGTATCTTTCTCGTGCGATGCCTTAACCAAGCTTTGCCATGCGGCTCGTTCAGCTTCCAATTTCTTTCTCCTTAATAATTGTTTGTAGGACCGTCTCACATAAATATAAGCATTAAGTAGGGTGGCAGTCCCTGATTTCCTATATCTCTGGTAGGCTGTTCTCGTTTGTCTGGTAGGCTGTTCTCGTTTTCAGTCTCTGTTTTCGGTATAAGTGTAATATACGCCTCTTTCCACGATTCTGGTGCCCTCTTCCCCTCCAGAATTTCATTACAGACTTCTTTCAAAGGTTGTAGTAACCATTCTTTCAAAGCTTTGTAGTATCTGGAAGTCAGTCCATCCGGTCCCGGAGATTTACCTAATTGCATATTTTGAATGGCACCTTCAATTTCCTGATCAGTTATTTTCTGATTCAAAATCATTTTATTTTGTAACAATTTTTTTTGTAATCCATTTTTCTTCAAGAATTCATCTATATCCGTTTCTTTCTGAGGCCCTTGTGAATACAATTGTTTAAAATATCTCTGGAAGCAGTTTCTGATCTCATTTGGATTAGAAATATTCCTTCCTTCCACTTCTAAATTTGTGACTGTATTCAATTTTTGTCTTTTCTTTATTTGCCACGTCAGTAGTTTACCACATTTATCTGCTGATTCAAATGTCTTTTGTCTCATTTGTCTAATTTTCCATTCTATCTCTTGATTCATTAACTCCATGTATTGTGTCTGGTACATCTTAATTTCCTTCAAAATCTCTTGAGACTTTGGTTTGGATCTTAATTTCTTTTATCCTTCTTTAATCTTTTCCAGAATCTTATCCTTTTTCTCATTTTGGCTTCTCTTCTTTATAGCATTTTGTTGTATCAGGAATCCTCGCATCACAGCTTTACTTGCATCCCAGATTACTCTTTTTTCAACACTGGTCTTTAAATTTATTTCAAAGTAGTCTCTCAAAGTTTTTTGGGCCTTTTTGTAGACTTCTTCATCTCTGAATAAGGTGTCATTCATCCTCCATCTGAAAGAGCCAGCCGTATTTTGTTTCATCTCCATCTTTAAGGCGTTATGGTCGGAGCATGTTTTTGGGCAGATTTCCACTTTCTTTATCTTTGGAGCCATCCCTCAAGTAACCCATATTTGGTTGATTCTGGTCCATGTCATTTTCGCTTCAGAGAAGAAAGTTCCCTCTCTCTCAAGAGGGTTCCTTGTTCTCCATATATCAATCAAGTCCATATTGTCAGTCATTTCAAAGAAGGTCTTAGGTAGTCTTCCATCTTTAGAGACTACCTGTCTTTGTGCTTTGTCCATGTTTGTAGATACAACTCCATTCATGTCTCCCATTACAATTAAGTTATAATCCAAAAAGTCCATTAATGTCTCATGCAACTTCTTAAAAAATTCAGATTTCCCCTCATTCGGTGCATAAACACCTACAATCAGAAATTTTTCTCCTTGAACTTGAATTTCAATTGCTAAGTATCTTCCTTGTTCGTCTTTAAATATCAATTTTGGTAGCAACTTCTCTTTTGCATAAATCACCACTCCTCTCTTTTTGACTTTGTCCGATGATATGAATTCTTGTCCTAGTCTTTTGTTAATAAGTAATTTTCTATGTGTCCTCATAACGTGTGTTTCTTGTAAACAAATCAAGTCCAATTGTTCTTTTTTCAATATGTGGAAAACATTTTTCCTCTTTCGTGGAAGGTTCAAACCGTTACAATTCCAACTTAGAAGTTGCAGAGACATGATGGAGCTATTTATTTATCCCTCCTTCTGCTCCAAGTGGTTGTTCTTCTTCTGTCAGTAGTGGTTGTCCTTCTTCTGTCGGTAGTTCTTTACTTGTCGGTGATTTCAGTCCAAATGATAAATTGCCTATATCTGGTATTTCTTTTCCTGGTGAATTGGACCCCTCACCAGAGACCACTTCTTTCACAAGATCCTCTTCATGATCTCTCAAAAATTCGTCTTTGTCACTCACTGATTTTATTCTTATTTTCCTTCCTCTATATTTAAAGGAAAGGCCTTGAGGAAATTCCCACCTGAAAAGTATTTTATTTTTTCTCAGTAGAACAACCAAGTCTTTATAGTGCGCTCTTGCTTCCAAAATGTACTTAGGTATATCCTTGAAAATCTCCACAAAGGAATCTTCAATTTCCAAGGTTCTTTGGTAATGCAGGTTCAAGATCTTATCTCTCTCCTCTTTTGATCTTAGAGTTATCAAACAATCTCTTGGCTTCTTCTTACTCTGTCTTTTACCGATTCTAAATGCAGTCAAAATCTTAAAGTCATCCTTCTCCAACCCCTGTTGCCAGAAATCCAAAAATTCTTTTGTAAGAAAGTCCACCAGGTTGTCCCTTTCACTTTCTGGTACAGCTCTTATTCTTAAATTCCTTTCTTTTCTCTGCAACTCAATCATAGATAAGGTCAAATCATGGTCCTCTAGTTTCTTGTACACTGGTAAAAAATTTTCCTGGGTAGCAGTTGCAATATCTTTAGCCTCCTCTGCAATCTTTTGAGTAGTAGCTGACTCTCCTAATAATTTTTCAATAGTCTGAGTATTAGAATTCACCTTCGTTCCCAATTCCTCAATACTTTTAGTGTTCAAGTCAATTTTTGCTGAGATCTCAGCTACTTGCTTGTTAGTTACTGCAACTTGTTTACTTGTCTCAGCCCCCTGTTTTGTTAAATGTTCCAGAGACTCATTGATTTTACAAAGTGCTTTTGCCACTGCATCAGATGACATATTTTTTTCTTTTACTTACACAGCTGCAGCTGCTCCTGTACCTCGATACCGAGGCCCTTCGTGGCTGTGGAGTGTCTGCCTTATATTGTCTGCCAGATCTTGTTGTTCTTTCATTTGCCATAACACTCTCACACCAGCCAAGGTCAAACTCGCGCCACTAGAGTTGTTTTGAAGAGGAAATTTCCAGTGGCTTAACTGCAGATGGCTTAAGTGTTATTTTAGTTACAAAGTCTCCTCTAGGGGGAGAAACATCCCAACTTCATTTTATGTTTCAAAATGTCTCTTTTAAAAAGTCTCTAATATCCCAGAAAGGAGAAGAGAGTTACTGTTCCAATTACTTTCTAGGTGTAAAGCAGTTCAGCAATATTGTTTCTTTTGCAGAGATACTTCAAAAGTCCCTTTAGTTTCCCTGTAACAGCCCTTTGACAGCCCCTTGGTCGGCTTTCCTGTCAAGGCAGTCCGTTCCCAGGAAATTAAGGCAAAATGGATTAAATTTTCTTCCCACTTCTCTGGCAGGTATAAAGTGTAAATTCTACTCCCCCCCCTGCTCCTGCAAACAAGAGGGGGGTTCCTCTTTTGGCGTTGGATTTGCTCCCTTTCTGATCACAGCCCTTCAAAGCTACACAGTTACAGCTTTACAGTCTCTTTGTTTTGATCTTTCTGCAGTTCGGAAAGGCAGACTTCCTTTTAATGCCTTTTCCCATTTTGGCCAAATTCATTTAAATTATCTCCAAGTCCAATTAAGTCTTTAACCCTACTCACGGGTAGTTGCTTTTAGTTCCAATTTCCAGGAAGGAATCAGCGCTCTCCGTCAATGGCGATGCGGCTTCACTCCGCGGACTGGGTGACGACTCTCAGTACCGCGCCGCTCACCCGCTGCCGTTCTGAAGCCTTTAAAAATGCTTCTTCCTGGCTTCGGGAGGGGCGCAAAGGTACCCGCCGAGCCTCCTCGTTCCCAGGCTTCACAGCCTGCGATTTTTGAGGGTCCCCGCTTCGCCGTAGCGGCAGGACCCGAACCCACGAAGCAGACTCCCTCTGGAGCTCGGAGGGATGTCCGCCATTAAATGCTGCCGCTGACCGGAAGTCTACTTGCGCAAATGTTGAACACCTGGTGCTGCCTCAATGCAGCTTCATGCTTCCACTGCTGGACTCTGCAGAAAATGGCTTCTCCATGCGAACCAGGAAGTGACCTCTCCAGACAATGGAAACTACTCTTCTTTTCTTGTGTCTGTGGCTGTGAGCTCCAGGGTGATGCGGATGCCATTAGGCAGTTGAATGCACATGCATACTCCACCCGTTTCCCTCCCTTCTCCCCTTCCATGCAGCCCTGGGTGCTGATAACCCATGCTACACCACTGGGGTATTGTAGGAATACTGCCTCTAATTTGAGATGTTCCAATTGGCTAAAGTCAGTAGGTAATACCAGTAGCTGTCATGGCTAAAAGGAATTCAGCCATATGGTAGCTGAGAAGCCCAAAGTCCAGCAGAAGCTAGGAGGTTGGCTTATCTAATAGTGTATCCACACAACAATTTCAGTGATCGCAAGAAAATCCTGCCCATGCTATCTCTTGGCCTGTTGGCTGTGCATTCAGTGAATCCTTGCTCCCACAGGAGGCTGCAATAACCAACTAAGGTGGCTTTAATAGAGGAGGAGAGGGCTATTAATGGCTACTAGCCAAGATGCGTGTGCTCTGCCTTCATGGTCAGAGACAGCCATGCTTCTGAGCACCATTTGCTGGAAGCTGCAGGGAGGGAAGGTGCTCTTGTGCTTAGAACCTGCTTGTGGGTTTCCGACTGGGGCCTCTGATTGGCCACTGAAGAGTGGATGCTGGACTAGATGGGCCCCTTTAGGCCTGATCCAGCAGCAAGACTCTTCGGACATTCTTATGCAACCTCCAGGTCCAGAAGCAGTATATCTAGATTCCTCGGTTCTTTGGGGTATTTGGCCATTGTGACAACAGGATTCTGGACTAGATTGGACACTGGCCTGATCCAACCAGGCCCTTCTTCTGTTCTCAGCTCTTTTGTTCTTGTTGCTTGCTGCAGGCCACAAGAGAAAGAACCTGAGAAACCTGAAGATGCAAGAAGAAGGGGAAGCAGCTGGCTCCTCCAGCCCTAAAGAGGAGCAAGCTCCGAAGATGGCCATGACATGCATTGGGAGCCTGGAGCACCAGCCCATTTTCCTCCATGTCCTGAAGGCTACTGAGCCAGGGGTGATGTGTGCTGGCCATGACAGCAACCAGCCTGATCCCTTTGCTGTCCTCTTCACCAACTTGAATGAGTCAGACGAGAAGCAGCTGGTGCATGTCTTGAAGTGGGCCAAGGCCTTGCCAGGTAAGAAGCAACTCTTGCATTCTCCCTCTCCCTCACATGCATCTGTTCCTTATCTGAAGATCAGACATCACAGAAAACAGTGCAAAACCCCATCTCCCTTCGTGTTGTGGTGCTTATTTGGGTTGGGTCTCTCTAAGCCTGATAAGGTGACCATCAGTGCATTTATACTGCATCAACTATATGCCTTGTTATGCTGACTTGCATCACTCTCAGCCAGAGAAATTTGGGTTTCTCCAGCTTCTTTAATGGAAGGTCCTTCCTGCTGGCCTCTCTTATTTACAGCTTACAAATGGGACAGGTTTTGTTCAGAACCACAGTGTTAACTACTGTTGATTATTCAGAATAAGTAGACAGCAAATATTTTCATAGCCTACAATTTGCACCTCTTTTGTGATCTGCATTCCATTACTGGCAATTAAAGAGAGTGTATCTGAAGAAGTGTGCATGCACACGAAAGCTCATACCTAGAACTAACTCAGTTGGTCTTTAAGGTGCTACTGGAAGAAATTTTTTTATTTTGACTATGGCAGACCAACAGGGCTACCTATCTGTAATTAAAGAGATGCTCTTTCATTATCTGCAGTTAAAATGACTGTCAGGAAGATAGCAGAATGCAAAAATCACATATATTAAGAAATGCATCAGTATAAAAATATATAGAGAGAAAATGCTCCTAGATACACAGGGAAGCTTGCCTGAGCTTTTTAGATAAAGAGTGGGAGAACAACATTTAGTAAGAATTCAGAACTCAAACTATCTAGAAAAACATCCACTTCCCAGAATCTGTTCCTCGGATCGAGAACGAATTAGGTCCCAGGCTTGTCTGAGAGGAGAAAATGTTTTTGCCTCTCTGTCTACATGCCTTGGTTTGCTTGCTTGAGCTTCTGGGTGTGTGACTTGCAGGCACTTTTCACCAGCACTTCTGCTCTCTGCCTCAGACACACTTTGTGAGTTGCCTTCTGGGCTCCTTGTTGGGGGACTTGCACAAAGAACTGAGGTGTTCAGAGTTGTCTCACCTTTCTGCCATCCTTTGCTCAAGTTCAGTGGGCTGGGTGTGGTTGTGTTCTCATTGTATGTCTGTAAGAATGTAGGTCGCACTTGGAGGAAGAAGGTTCACTGACGTGCTTTACTGGGCAGGGATAGATTGCTGGGAGACATGGGTTGACTACAATGGCAGTGAACGTTACATGGAAGCAAGGCTAAGCTTGCCTTCAAGTGTCCATTCGACAGGGGGAGCTGGTGGAGTGTACTGGTAAGAGTGCTTGACTAGGTCCTGGGAGAGACCAGGGTTTGAAACCCCACTCAGCCCTACTCAAGTAACAGTCCGGTCGGCTTCTGTAGGTCCCCTGGGGGAGGGCACCCTCTTGTCCTTTGTCTTAGGCAGCAAGATGTCTTGAGCCAATGATGGCTCTCTGGTCATACAATGTGCATGACAAACATGTCTGAATTCACACATTGTATGACCAGGTGCTCTGCCTCAAACAGCAAGGAGTTGCTTGCGTTTGGCTTCCTTGGCAATGAGAGATTACTGGGCAGATGGGCTTTTTGTGGTTTCTAGTTTGTTTTGCAAATCTCCAAATAGAGCGTTGGGTGTGCTCCACTCAGGCAACAGATCTGTACCCTCACATCAGATCACCAGGGAAAGATGCCCATCACTGCAGGACACAGCTGCCCAGCAGCCGACTCTCAACTATCTCTCCCTCTCTCTTCCTTTCTCTCCGTCTTCTTGTCTGTCCCCAGACTTTCTTTTGTCCTTTCACAAATAAATAAGAAGCCATAGTGGATCAAAGACCCACCTAGTCCAGCATCCTGAAGCCCAGCAGGCGTCTGCAGGGAACCCACAAGCAGGATTCAGTCCTCAGAGCCGTCTCTCCTGCGGTGTCCAGCAACTGGCATTCAGAAGTCTTACTCCTTTTGGCATCAGAGGCTCATAGCCATCAATAGCCTTTTCTTCCATTTGTGTAATCTCTTTTCAAAGCCATCCAGTTGGAGGCCATCACTGCCTCCTGCGAGAGAGACTTGCACAGGATTTCCTACTATCAGCCCTGAGCCTTCTAGCATTCAGCAGCTTCACTGGAGGCCTCCGGGTTCCAGTGTTAGAAAAGAGGGAGACAAGGTTTTCTCTGCCCACTTCCTCCAGGCCATGCATAATTTAATAAAGTCCTATTATGTCCTTCTTACTCAACTTTTCTTTTTAAAACAATTATGTTTATTAAATTGTAAGAAACGAAAATAAAAACAATCAGCTGTCAAAACATTGTTATTGTTTAGTCGTTTAGTCGTGTCCGACTCTTCATGACCCCATGGACCAGAGCACGCCAGGCCCTCCTGTCCTCCACTGCCTCCCGCAGTTTGGTCAAACTCATGCTGGTAGCTTCGAGAACACTGTCCCACCATCTCGTCCTCTGTCGTCCCCTTCTCCTTGCGCCCTCCATCTTTCCCAACATCAGGGTCTTTTCCAGGGAATCTTCTCTTCTCATGAGGTGGCCAAAGTACTGGAGCCTCAGCTTCAGGATCTGTCCTTCCAGTGAGCACTCAGGGCTGGTTTCCTTCAGAATGGGGAGGTTTGATCTTCTTGCAGTCCATGGGGCTCTCAAGAGTCTCCTCCAGCACCAGAATTCAAAAGCATCCATTCTTCGGCGATCAGCCTTCTTTATGGTCCAGCTCTCACTTCCATCCATTACTACTGGGAAAACCAGAGCTTTTACTATACTGCCCTTTGTTGGCAAGGTGATGTCTCTACTTTTATATATATATATATATATACATTTTTATTGGATTTTCACATACAAACTCAATAATGTTAGCATAAGAAAGAAAAAGTACAAAAGCAAAAAGAAAAAATAAAAGATTCAACTTTTCAAATCGTTTTTGTAAATCCAACTGGACTTCCTCACATCTTCCGAACCCAGCGTTCTTTACAATAAAAACATCAGCAATTTGTTACCTTATTTCATACCTTACTGTATCTTTCAAATATTATGTTTCTAGACTCAAAATGTTATTTCTCAATTACTTGTACCCTAAAATAAACTTAATAAAATTGTTTCAAGTCTCCACCTTGTCTTTCTTATAACTTAATTTCCAATTCAATAAATCATTTTGCTGAAGCTATAATTTCCAAATCATGCACATTCTTAGCATTCATACAATTTATAATGTTTCTGCAAATAGTCCTTAAATTTTTTCCAGTCCTCTTCCATTGTTTCTTCTCCCAAATCTCGGATTCTGCCAGTCATTTCAGCCAGCTCCATGTAGTCCATCAGTTGCGTCTGCCACTCCTCCAGTGTGGGTAAATCTTGTGTCTTCCAATACTTTGCAATAAGAATTCTTGCTGTTGTAGTTGCGTACATAAACAAAGTTCTATCCTTCTTTAACACTTTCTGGTCGACAATGCCCAGGAGGAAGGCCTCTGGTTTCTTAGGAAAGGTATACCTAAATACCTTTTTTAACTCATTGTAAATAATAATAATAATAATAATAATAATAATAATAATAATAATAAATTTTATTTATATCCCGCCCTCCCCAGCCGAAGCCGGGCTCAGGGCGGCTAACAACAATAAAACAGTACAAAAGTACAACATAAACAGCATTCTAAAATCATTCATTATAAAAATTAATTAATTCAAGCCACTAGCAACCATTGGGCCAGAGCTCCGCGAAGATTGCCGAGGGAGGGAGTCAGGCTGTGCCCTGGCCAAAGGCCTGGTGGAACAGCTCTGTCTTGCAGGCCCTGCGGAAAGATGTCAAGTCCCGCAGGGCCCTGGTCTCTTGTGACAGAGTGTTCCACCAGATCGGAGCCACAGCCGAAAAAGCCCTGGCTCTAGTTGAGGCCAGCCTAACTTCTCTGTGGCCTGGGACCTTCAAGATGTTTTTATTTGAAGACCGTAAGTTTCTCTGTGGGGCATACCAGGAGAGGCGGTCCCGTAGGTACGAGGGTCCTAGGCCATATAGGGCTTCCCAGAAGGCCTTCACTTTCAGGCATGTCCACCAGAGGTCAAAAAAGGTCCCTTCAGCCTCCTTACATTTCCAACATTTATTATCAGACAGGTGATATATCTTAGCAAGCTTGACTGGGGTCATGTACCACCGGTAAATCATTTTCATAATGTTTTCCTTCAGGGCATTACATAGAATCATAGAATCATAGAATCACAGAGTTGGAAGAGACCACAAGGGCCATCGAGTCCAACCCCCTGCCAAGCAGGAAACACCATCAGAGCACTCCTGACATATGGTTGTCAAGCCTCTGCTTAAAGACCTCCAAAGAAGGAGACTCCACCACACTCCTTGGCAGCAAATTCCACTGTCGAACAGCTCTTACTGTCAGGAAGTTCTTCCTAATGTTGAGGTGGAATCTTCTTTCTTGTAGTTTGGATCCATTGCTCCGTGTCCGCTTCTCTGGAGCAGCAGAAAACAACCTTTCTCCCTCCTCTATGTGACATCCTTTTATATATTTGAACATGGCTATCATATCACCCCTTAACCTCCTCTTCTCCAGGCTAAACATGCCCAGCTCCCTTAGCCGTTCCTCAGAAGGCATCGTTTCCAGGCCTTTGATCATTTTGGTTGCCCTCCTCTGGACACGTTCCAGTTTGTCAGTGTCCTTCTTGAATTGTGGTGCCCAGAACTGGACACAGTACTCCAGGTGAGGTCTGACCAGAGCAGAATACAGTGGCACTATTACTTCCCTTGATCTAGATGCTATACTCCTATTGATGCAGCCCAGAATTGCATTGGCTTTTTTAGCTGCCGCGTCACACTGTTGGCTCATGTCAAGTTTGTGGTCAACCAAGACTCCTAGATCCTTTTCACATGTACTGCTCTCAAGCCAGGTGTCACCCATCATGTATTTGTGCCTCTCATTTTTTTTGCCCAAGTGCAATACTTTACATTTCTCCCTGTTAAAGTTCATCTTGTTTGTTTTGGCCCAGTTCTCTAATCTGTCAAGGTCGTTTTGAAGTGTGATCCTGTCCTCTGGGGTGTTAGCCACCCCT